CTCTACTTTTTAATTCACTCAAAAATTTAAAATTTAATATTGAAGCTGTTTAAACAGTTTTACCTGGAAGATTCCGGGGTCAATGCCCCCGGCCGGTCTGAGCCCCGGGGCATCAGGGGATCAGGGCTGTAACCAGGCTGTTATGCTGGCTGCACGCAATCCAATGTACGAGCCACAGCCCGGCTGGTCAGGTACCGACTTTAGGTGCCTGTCCAGTGCCTGCTTGAAGACAGCCGGGGGCTAATTGGTAACCCCCCCCTTATGTATTGCTGGGAGGCATTGAACAGTCTTGGGCCCCTGACACTTATTGTGTTTTTCTCTTAGCGTGCTAGTACACCCCTGCTTTTCATTGGGGGGATGTTGCATCGTCTGCCGAGTCTTTTGCTTTCGGAGAGAGTGATTTTCATGTGGAAGTTTGGTACTAGTCCTTCTAGGATTTTCCAGGTGTATATAATCATGTATCTCTCCCACCTGCATTCCAGGGAGTACAAGTTCAGGAACTTTAAGTGCTCCCAGTAATTGAGGTGTCTTATCTCCGTTGTGCGTGCCATGAAGGTTCTCTGTACATTTTCTAGATCAGCAATTTCACCTGCCTTGAAAGGTGCTGTTAGTGTGCAGCAATATTCCAGCCTAGATAGAACAAGTGACCTGAAGAGTGACATCATGGGCTTGGCATCCCTAGTTTTGAAGGTTCTCATTATCCATCCTCTTATTTTTCTAGCAGATGCGATTGATACAATGTTATGGTCCTTGAAGGCGAAATCCTCCGACACGATCACTCCCAGGTCTTTGACGTTAGTTTTTCACTCTAGTGTGTGGCTGGAATTTGTTTTATACTCTGATGAAGTTTTAATTTCCTGATGTTTACCATATCGGAGTAATTGAAATTTCTCATCATTGAACTTCATATTGTTTTCTGCAGCCCATTGAAAGATTTGGTTGATGTCCACCTGGAGCCTTGCAGTGTCTGCAATGGAAGACACTGTCGTGCAGATTCGGGTGTCATCTGCAAAGGAAGACACGGTGCTGTGGCTTACATCCTTGTCTATGTCAGATATGAGGATGAGGAACAAGATGGGAGCGAGTACTGTGCCTTGCGGAACAGAGCTTTTCACTGTAGCCGCCTCAGACTTGACTCTGTTTACTACTACTCTTTGTGTTCTATTTATGAGGAAGTTATAGATCCACCTACCAACTTTTCCTGTTATTCCTTTAGCACGCATTTTGTGCGCTATTAAGCCATGGTCACACTTGTCAAAGGCTTTTGCAAAGTCTGTGTATATTACATCTGCATTCATTTTGTCTTCTAGTGCATCTAGGACCTTGTCGTAGTGGTCCAGTAGTTGGGACAGACAGGAGCGACCTGCTTTAAACTCACGTTGCCCTGGGTTGTGTAATTGATGGGTATTTAGATGGGTGGCAATCTTGCTTCTTAGGACCCTTTCAAAGATTTTTATGATATGGTATGTTAATGCTATCGGTCTGTAGTTCTTTGCTATTGCTTTACTGCCCCCTTTGTGGAGTGGGGCTATGTCTGTTGTTTTTAGTAACTGTGGGACGACCCCAGTGTCCATTCTCCCTCTCTATAGGATGTTAAAAGCATGTGATAGGGGCTTCTTGCAATTCTTGATGAACACGAAGTTCCATGAGTCTGGCCCTGGGGCAGAGTGCATGGGCATGACATTTATTGCCTGTTCGAAGTCATTTGGTGTCAGGATAACATCAGATAGGCTTGTGTTTACCAAGTTCTGTGGCTCTCTCATAAAAATTCATTTAGATCTTCGACTCTCAGTCTGGTTAGTGGCTTGCTAAAAACTGAGTCATATTGGGACTTGAGTAGCTCACTCATTTCCTTGCTGTCATCTGTGTAAGACCCATCTTGTTTAAGTAGGGGCCCAATACTGGATGTTGTTCTCAACTTTGATTTGGCATAAGAAAAGAAATACTTTGGGTTTCTTTCGATTTCATTTATGGCTTTTAGTTCTTCCCGCGATTCCTGACTCCTATAAGATTCCTTTCCAATGTGCTGCTTGATGCTGGCACTTCATCCAAGGAATTTGAGCTACCCTTCCCTTTTTTGTGTCAAACCTGATTACCTCCTATGTGTGACATATGTGCTGTGTGACATAGGTTTCAATTGCTTATCTATGAGTATTATTATAATCTGGAATGTTGGATTACACATATCTTGCTTCCATAGTGAAAATGTTAAACACCACCTTGAGGTGTATTAATTAAGAGCTCACACAGCCATCAACAGTATATTAATAATAATACGCACTCTTGTATACAGTTGTATTAATGTTAGTATAATAAAAAAATGTGCTTAATGAACTAGAAGAATTTAATCATTGTAAAAATAAAGGTGTGGCATACAGGTTTGGCAATTACCTTGAAATATATTAATACAATTTTATATATACTAAGAGGTGCACGTCTTGCTGTATGTATACTGATTTTACTTTAATTCCTATTTAATGGGTTAAATATCCTAGACTGGTGAGGAATGTTACATGCAGCCTTACTAACCATCCTTTAGTCAACAGGCTTTAAACCCAATCAACTTGCCAATAATAATGATAATACAGTACTATCTCCTATTAATAAGAGAGTAAAATAGTATTGAATGTTTGTAATCTACCACTCTTTACCTGTCTAGACTTAAGTAGTCTTTAAGTATTAGGTTAAGTCTGCCCGAAATGTCTCAGCACGATAGTGGTTTTCTTCGTACCAATCATATTACGAAATGTACACACACATTGTAACCTTTGCAAAGAAATAAACTTTTGTTTTGTTTGTACATAATTTTTTTAACATTGCCCATGCTCCACTGAAGTAGGGTAGCCCAAAAAAGAAGAAACTTTCACCATCACTCACTACATCACCATCTTGCCAGATACCCCTTCAAACTCCAATATCCCTACCCCTCCTTCATAGTCCAGGCACTGTACTTCCCACCTCCAGGACTCAAATCTAGCTAACTGGTTTCCCTGAATCCTTCATAATGCTACCTTGCTCACACTCCAACTGCACACCATAAAAACCAATTGCCTCCACTCCTAATGCTCACACACTTGTTGAATGTCCAAGCCTCGCACAAAACCTCCTTTACCCCTGCCATCCAACTTTTCATATGATGACCCCTACCTTTCCTTCCCTCCGCTACAGATTTATACATCCTCCAAGTCATCCTATTTTTCTCCATCCCATCTGTCCAAACCACCTCTAATCCTTCTTTAACCCTCTGGATAATACTTTTAGTAATCCTACACTTTCTTTTAATCCTCACATTATAAATTCTCTGCATAATATTCACACCACACACTGCCCTCAGACATGACAACACTGCCTCCAGCCTCCTCTTCCCTACAAGGAACTGACATGGATGAGAAGTTTGTGGGTAAAACAAGAATACATTGAGGAAGGCAGAGGCAGGAAATATAGAGATATTACCATATTACAGGGTCAGTGCCAAATTTGTAGGGTGGCACAGCTCCAGGGGTTTGGGAATGGGAAGTAATCTCAGTTCATCTGAGGAAGAAGAGGGTAGTGCCAGTTTCTTAGATCAAAATCCCTCTGCTGGCATCAATGCCCCCATCCCTTTTGAAGGTACAGATCTATGATGAAGTTGTTAACTTCAAAAGATTCGGCAGGTGGTGAAACATCCCCCTAATGTAAAGCAAGGGCGCCTTGAATATGCTAAGAGATAACACAAGAAGTGTCGGGCCCAAGATTGTTCAACTGCCCCCTAGCACATAAGATGGATTACTAATAGACCCCTGGCTGTCTTGAAGCAGGAGCTGGAAAGGCACCTAAAGTCAGTACCTGATCAGCCAGGCTGTGGTTTGTATGTCAGTCTGTGTGCAGCCAGCAGTAACAGCCTGGTTGATCAGGCCCTGATCCACTGCAAGGTCTGGTCATGGATCAGGCCACAGGGGCGTTGACCTCCAAAATACCCTCCAGGTATACGTACTTTGGATTTGAAGTTTGTAGTAAATATGATGGTCTGCCCCTTCAAACCCCCCTCCCTCTCCTTTATAATTATATCAGGCACTTCAGTACTCTTGAGAAATGGCACATTTGACAATTATTTCAGGTCTATCCCAAGAATGCTGGAATTGCAACATGGATAGCAATACCAACCTGAGACAGGCAGCAATACCAACCTGAGATGGGTAATACAACCAACTTGGGATAGGTGATAATCAGTGGCGTTGTAAGGGGGGGCGTGAGCAGCCCCAAGTGACACCATCAAGGGGTGACCCTAATGCCCAAAACAGTACTGCAGCAACATAAGAGAAAAATCTTTTGTTTCTATATAGCCTATTGTACGATTACAGAGTACAAATAGGCCTATATAGGGAAAATCAATGACGCTACATGAAAAACTACGATAAATCAATAATTTTATTTATGATAGTTTGGAGAAACTCTTAATCCACCTGGCATCACTATGATCACTCATCGCTGACTGAAATATGCAAGAATGAGCTCATGCTTGAAATACCAAGACTAAGGAAGCACCTGCAGGCTGCAGATGTTGATCTTGAAAAAGTTAAGCACTGGACTGCAGTGGATGCACTAACATTCACAGCTGAATGGGATTTCATTGAATATCTTCCAACTCTCACACTCTGCTTGAGGTTGTTCCTTACTGTGTGTGTTGCTGTGGCTTCTTGTGAAAGGAGTTTCTCGAAATTAAAGTTGAATAAAAACTATTTACGGTCCACAATGATTCAATCCAGAATCTCTGACTTAGCAATGTTATCCATAGAAAATAAGTCAGTTAACAGCATTGATTTTGATAATGTGATAAATGATTTTGCAGGATTGAAGGCAAGGAAATGTAAGATATGATTCATTGAGATGTTACCTGTACTTAAGGCCTGTACTCAAGTGGTACTTAAATTTACGTTTCTTGTCGGTTAATGGCCCTTAAACATTCTCATTGCTAAACATTAGTCATTGGGCATGCAGTAGTAACGTAACTGGAGTTTACTTTTCCCTCATCCCCCCGCCCTTGGATTTCATGGAGGTGACGCCAAAGATGCCGCCCTGGGTAACACCAACCCTAGCAACGCCACTGGTGATAATGCCAACCTGAGATAAAATAATACCAGCCTGAAACAGGCAGTAATACTAATGAATCTAAGACAAGTAGCAATTGTCACTTGTGTAGCTGGCTGATGTATTAAGAGGTTTCCTGATCTTAGGTCTCTCTCTCATGAACATGCCATAAAACACATCAAAGGCTGGCATTACTTATTATTGTTATGTACACGACTGATACTTGTATCAGTTCCAGTTAAACTGGATGTAGTGGCACAATGCCAACAGGTATGAGTATAAAGACAAGATGCAGAACAAGCTTTTATTGGGACTATGTTTCTTTCTGCATAAAATCTTTATACCCAGTCCCAGTTAAGTTCATATGCAAGACTTTCTAGGAACTTTTCATGAGCATAATATAAAAATAAATGTATTCCTAAGGTATTTGGCATGTTTTCCTTTGCTGACATTTCACAATAATCACATTTAATTACATGTATATATTTTTTATATTTAACAGTTATCTAGCTTATATGTGTAACTTTTACCTTTCAAGCCATCCACTGCCCTATGAATTAACAATTCCTTACAAACAGTCACAATATGATAATTTATATGAAGAGGTCTTTCTGCCTGCACCATGTAGTAAAATATACATTACTTTGTTTTGCTTTAGGTCCCTTAAAACTTATGCATAAATTTCTCTTGTGATGTTGCAGTTTTAAATACAAGTCGCACTAACGGGGCTCAGGTAGGTCTGGAAGGGCTTGTCCTGGGGTACACTGGTGATAACGTGACCTGGCTGCAAAATCTTCATTTTCTTCAGTGAGTTGATTAGCAGTGACCTCAACACCTGGGTGTAGTGGGGTCACCACTACTTGGTCATACTCAGCTGTCTGCTGCCTGCTCAGGAGTACATAAGAATAATGAAAGATAAGAAATAAATTACTTATTCCTAGACATTCAACATTTCAGAATATAACAAAATAACTGTATAAAAAAGCTCCTTAATAAATTAATTGCTCAACTGAAATCTAACAATTATGAAATACTTTATATCATAAAGTAAATTTATATTTAGTCCAAATTACACTTAGTCAGAATTCATATTACACAGTTTAGTTATCAATAGTTAAATAAGCAGTTTTTGATATAAAGTCCACAGAAAAGAGGAAGAAGGCAATCATACAAAGGGACATTACACACAAGTTAAGAGGCCCAAGAGAAATCCAGAAGGCAACAGAGACATTAATATGTACACAGAGAGGTGTATGTCTCATTGTATATGCTAAGAAATCATCTTAATCCTTGCTGAAGGGATTAAAGTAGTATCCATAACTAGTGGTGAATAGATAACAAAAGGCCTTGAACCCAATTAATTAACCAACCAGGTGGCAATCTGTACATTCAGTTGACAGACTCGACTAGTGTGATGAGTTTGTGGCATTACAATTCAACATTAAATTGATAAACCTTATTCCAAGGATGTGGAGCTAACCCATGTATGCATCACTTAAAACAATCCATTGCACCCAGAAGCTGCATGTGTGGTAGTAAACCAATGTTTGTTAGATTGTTTGACATACAGTAAATAAAGGGTATTAACTGTTGAAGTACGTACAGTAGACCCTCGGTTATCGGCTGTAATCCATTCCAGAAGGTCGGCCTAAAACCAAAATAATATTTCCCATAAGAATTAATGTAAATACAATTAATCCATTCCAGACACCCAAAAATGTTAACAAAAAAAAACATTTTTTAAAGATTAATTATAGTTTTACTTACACAAAACAATGAGAACTAAATAAAATAAATAAATGAACATTTAAATCACTGTTACATACCTTTTTTGAAGATTCTTGTTGGCTTATGGAAGACAGGGAGGAGGAGAGAGGGAGGACTGATTATTGTTTGGAAGGGTAATCCTCCTCCATAAGGACTTCAGGTATCAAAGCCCTCTCTGGGGTTACTTCCCTCCCTGCCTGCTACACTCCCTGCATGCCTGCTACACTCCCTGCCTTCCTCCTACACTCCCTGCCACACCCTGCCTCCCTACTACACTCCCTGCCTGCCTGCTACACTCCCTGCCTCCCTGGTACACTCCCTCCCTCCATGCTACACTCCCTGCATGCCTGCTATACTCTCTGCCTTCCTCCTACACTCCCTGCCTCCCTACTACATTCCCTGCCTGCCTGCTACACTCCCTCCCTCCATGCTACACTCCCTGCCTGTCTGTTACACTCCCTGCCTGTCTGCTACACTCCCTCCCTCCATGCTATGCTCCCTGCCTGCCTGCTACACTCCCTGCCCCCCTTCCACACTCCCTGTTTCCCTGCTACACTCTCTGCCTCCCTTCCACACTCCCTGTTTCCCTGCTACACTCTCTGCCTCCCTTCCACACTCCCTGTTTCCCTGCTACACTCCCTGCCTCCCTTCCACAGCATATGTGTAAAGAACCTAGGATAACCCAAAAAAGTCAGACAGTGACTTATTTCCACTGGGGTCCTGCCTCCCTGCTACACTCCCTGCTAAACTCCCTCTCACAACATTAGCTTCCTTGATGTTTGGATCAGAAATCAGTAATTTGGCCAATTTCACACAAATTTCAAGAGATGCCAATTTCAAAACGGGTTCCTGAATAAGCAATGCAGACATTCCTGGCACTAAAATATCATTTTCTCTGTTCACATCTCCAAGCCCCTCTTTATATTATGTTTGTTATTTACTTTTATTCGCACAAAAAATAGAAGATTTACTGTTATGAAGACTACTGTACTGCGTTATTATTGCTGTATAGCCCTTGTGGCTTAGCGCTTCTTTTTGATTATAATAATAATGTACTGCGTTATTGTAATAATTGTATAATGTCAACCCATTCGTGACCATGTATTAGACCAGCCAGTTGGACATGTATTGGACGAGTGAAGTGATTTGTGTTTGACAGGCCAGTTGGACACATACTGGACGTGTGACGTGATTTGTTTACTCTTGAACATCAGCAAAAATCAGACATTTCCACAACTCTGAGCTCAATTTCAAAGTGCTTTCAAGGTACTTACCAACCATATCATAAAAATCTTTGAAAGGGTCCTAAGAAGCAAGATCACCACCCATCTAGAAACCCATCAGTTACACAACCCAGGGCAACATGGGTTTAGAACAGGTCGCTCCTGTCTGTCTCAATTATTCGATCACTACGACAAGGTCCTAGATGCACTAGAAGACAAAAAGAATGCAGATGTAATATATACAGACTTTGCAAAAGCCTTCGACAAGTGTGACCATGGCGTAATAGCGCACAAAATGCATGCTAAAGGAATAACAGGAAAAGTCGGTCGATGGATCTATAATTTCCCCACTAACAGAACACAGAGAGTAGTAGTCAACAGAGTAAAGTCCGAGGCAGCTACGGTGAAAAGCTCTGTTCCACAAGGCACAGTACTCGCTCCCATCTTGTTCCTCATCCTCATATCTGACATAGACAAGGATGTCAGCCACAGCACGGTGTCTTCCTTTGCAGATGACACCCGAATCTGCATGACAGTGTCTTCCATTGCAGACACTGCAAGGCTCCAGGCGGACATCAACCAAATCTTTCAGTGGGCTGCAGAAAACAATATGAAGTTCAACGATGAGAAATTTCAATTACTCAGATATGGTAAACACGAGGAAATTAAATCTTCATCAGAGTACAAAACAAATTCTGGCCACAAAATAGAGCGAAACACCAATGTCAAAGACCTGGGAGTGATCATGTCGGAGGATCTCACGTTCAAGAACCATAACATTGTATCAATCACATCTGCTAGAAAAATGACAGGATAGATAATGAGAACCTTCAAAACTAGGGATGCCAAGCCCATGATGACACTCTTCAGGTCACTTGTTCTATCTAGGCTGGAATATTGCTGCACACTAACAGCACCTTTCAAGGCAGGTGAAATTGCTGACCTAGAAAATGTACAGAGAACCTTCATGGCGCGCATAATGGAGATAAAACACCTCAATTACTGGGAGTGCTTGAGGTTCCTGAACCTGTATTAACTGGAACACAGGCGGGAGAGATACATGATTATATACACCTGGAAAATCCTAGAGGGACTAGTACCTGGAGTTTACCTGGAGAGAGTTCTGGGGGTCAACGCCCCTGTGGCCTGGTCTGTGACCAGGCCTCCTGGTGGATCAGAGCCTGATCAACCAGGCTGTTACTGCTGGCTGCACGCAAACCAACGTACGAGCCACAGCCCAGCTGGTCAGGAACCGACTTTAGGTGCTTGTCCAGTGCCAGCTTGAAGACTGCCGGGGTCTGTTCACACAAAAATCACTTCACAAAGCAAAAGACTTGGCAGCATGCAACACCCCCCAAATGAAAAACGGGGGTCACTACACTTTAAAGAGACCTACAATAAGTGTCGGGGGCCCGGACTGTTCAATGCCTCCCAGCTCGTGGGGGGATTCACGACCCCTGGCAGCTTTAAGCTGCATGGACAAGCACCAAAAGCGGTTCCTGACCAGCCGGGGCTGGGGCCGTACGTTGGTTTTGCATGCAGCCAGCAGTAACACCCTGGTTGCAGCTCGATCCACCAGGAGGCCTGGTCACAGGGGGCCCAGGGGGCGTTGCCCCCCGGGAAACTCTCTCCAGGAAAACCAAAAATCATATCTATTTCCGTTTTTATCTTCTATAAAATGAAAAAAAAAAAAACTGAAAATACAACCAAAAAACCATGGGAAAATAGACGAAAAGTTGGTTTTAACCAAAAACAGGGGTCACAGTTTTTTCTCATCATGAACCGGCGTGCAGGATTTTTTTTTTTATATGTGCAAACTTACCCCAGGCCTATTCCCAACTGGGCCCAAAATTGAATGGTCACGTTTATCTATGGTTGAGCTATGGCATATCTACGGACCAATAGGGGTTTTCAAAACCCCTTATCTTTTATGGAAAAGGTAAGTGTTCGGCTTTATATAACAAAGGGGGCCCTTTCCCTTTTTCACGGGAACCATGGCCGGGGGCTAAAGTAAGTGGGGTTATAACAAAGGAGAAAAAAAAATTTGGGAAATGAATTAGCCAAAGAGCGTACCAAATAGTGCAGCGGGTTGGTGTGGCGACCCCAAAAAATTTGAAATTACTCTAGCCAAAATTGGGCCCAGAATGATAAAACTGCATTATGAGGGCGAACCTGTACTTTACAAAGATGGAAACTAGGCTTAGTGTAATTGTGGGGGAAAAAATTTAAATAGATAGGAGTAAGGGGGAGTATATATAACAATAGTTTCTTTGCCGGCTACTTTTTAAGGTGGGGTAAGTCAAGCCCCCCTTTTTCCCCCTTTTTTTTCCCCCCCCCAAAAGTGTTTATTTTTCATTCCCGGCACTTTTTAAAGGTGGGGGTAAGCTGCCCCCGCTATTCCCGCCTTTTTCCCCCACCCCGAAAGTGATAGTTGACGCCGGCTGCTTGTTGGTAGGGTCAGTCTAGCTCCCGTATCCCTTCCCCCCTTTTTTCCCCCCCCCCCCCCTCCGAAAGGTGAAATGGGGGGTTGGGCCCCCAAACAGTAAAACTGACTCACGGCTCCCAGCACTACGAAAGACATGCCTCCTTGTATTCTAGTGGTTTTTTTTGGTTTAAAAGCTTATTTTTGGGCCAATAAAAACTTAGTCCCTTTCAGCTTGCCTGGTTGACTGTTGAAAATAATCCCACATCTTTTGGATTGTACTTACATGGAGAGTGATTTTTTAAGCAGTGGGAAAAAAACCTGTCTACTTTCCAGCTTGGATACAGAGATCACCTCCAACAACGAGCAGAAAGATGGAGATGGACAAATCCCCAAAAGACTTCCCCTTTTTGGATTTAATTACCTGTGACCTGTAGAAGTACAGGATTAAAACCCAAATCATCATTGCGGGG